AAAAAAACCTACGCCACTGCATTTTTTACATGTCATTGTAACTGATTTATATTTTAATGCACAAAATACGTAAAAAAGGTGACTTTAATTTTTTTCCCTAAGATTCGCCGTTCTCAAGTTATTCGTACCAATACAATCCCCTTGTGGCAGACACTTCTAACGATAATATTACAAGAATATTTGTTTATGTTTAAAAGTAAGTGCAATTTGTACGCACATCAACAAAATTATTTACATTCCTTTCTATACCACCTGAGGTAGTGTGCGATATAAACAAAAAAATCAATTTTTTTTTAAAAACTCAACACCCTGTATCACTAAAACGGGGCCGCTCCAGACCTATGTTTATAAGGCAAACACATATTATTATATTCGGACCACCCTGTCTACGTATGATTTTTTAATTTAGGCACAAAATATACTGAAAAATTTCAAGGACATTTAATACGGAAACAATTAACTAAGTTAATATTATTCAATTCATCAATGAATAAAATATGTAAAATCATGAAAATTTGTTTGTACTAGTTTACCTTTATATTTCAGAATATAACTTTTTAAAATATATACCAATTTCTGAAAAAAAAAAATGAAAATAAAAAATGTTGCTCATATAATTTGAATCTTTATATTTGGTATTATATTTAATTATTTATTTATTTATTATATTTCCTTGTTTCTATATAAACCCTAAAATTTATCTGTGTTGGCAACCATTATGTTCAAAATGGCAACCATTGTTATTAGCCGCACGCGCAGGTTGTAAGAGCATTCTCCCTTCTCTATATTTCCGGTCTCAGATCAAGCCGAAAAGGATGATGAAAGGATGAATTATCAATATACAGGGTGTCTCTAAAGGGTATATACCATATGCTCCACCAGACGGCTCAAAATAAGTCGATTTAACTAATCGTGCCTTAGTCTAAAAATTGATAATAACGGAGCTACAAGGTGTCAATGTTGAAAAAATAAATAACATTTTCTTTAACATCTTTCCACTACTTCGAGCTAATTTCGTGAAATTTCGTATCCGGGGTTTTTTTTTGGAATGAAAAATTCGAATTTATCTACGATTTCGTCGTATCTTCTAGAGGACGCCACAAATGACCATTAGGACGCATTTAAATTGCCAAAATTTTTTCGGGTCACTGTGTATTTCGCTTTAGGCTGGAAAAATTTTTTCCCCCAGCTTTTCTGCTGAAAAAAGGTATACCTTGCTAATATCTCTAAAGCCAACCGTTTTGAACAAAAAGGCATTTCAATTTATAAATGCATAAAAAAAATTGTTTAAAAGTTATTTTCAACTCCACTGATAAACGAAATTAAGAGTAATCATTTATTAGCAAGCCTTTAATAATGCAATTACAATTTTAAATTTCGTTTATTTAACAACGTTGCTGCAAACAGAATTGACAGAGTAAAAAATTTACAACATTTCTAAATTCCCACGTTTCATAATTAAAGTGTAAATGATAATGCATGAGCTCTTTTGCGAGAAATTAATGAAATCTCTTTCGTGTAATAATGTCGTGATACATAAAGAAGTAACCCCTCATGTTGCAATACTTCCAAATATTCGGTTGTTCATAATTGATGACTGTAGCCTAGAATTGAAATCAAATTTTGTCTGGAACAGTGCATTTTAGCGACATTATACAAGTATACATACTTTATAATAAATAAAAAGGGGCTTCTTAAAATATTTTCGCGTTCCTAAAACCTGTACCTACCAACAAAAATATGCAAAAAAGACTCTTTAAGGTGTTGTTAGCGCCCTCTGTAAAATTTTTTATCATATTCATATTTGGATACCACAAGAATTCCTTCACATCAAATTGAACCGAAATATCTTTAAAGATGACGCTGTCATCTTAAAAACGTGAATTATTATTTTTTAAAGGCCTACCTACTACTATTTATGAAAATAAAATTGTCCTAAGGTAATTTGATCTAAAGTATTTTCACCTATGGAAGCTACCCTTGAAGTATGATCCATTCGCTGTCGGACACATTATTAATAAAAATGTTTTGTCACCAATGTGTGTCATACAAAAACAATCAATGACATGTATGCCCTTCTAAACACTACTAGAAACAAACAATTGGAAATAGAAGCACAGACTAAACTATCAAGAATTTTGGCCAGATTTATTCGGTGGGTGGAATTATTCGTCCGTTAAAAGATACTATTTTAGGTGTTACTATTTAATGAATAAACCAAACTCGTCCCCCGTTCAGATGATTTCATTATTAAAGCTCCCTCTAGAAAAACTTCCAAGTAGGCACAAGGAATTAAAAATAAAATTCGAAATCAGAATTCGTACTCACTTGTTAAAAATAGATTTGGACGTCGTCGCAGCCTCTGTTAATGACTGTTAAAACCCCAGGCTACAGGATCACGCCTCAGTCCAGTTCACAACACCTCCGGACGCCGATCTATCCAAATCCACGTCGCCTTTGCCCCCACACCGACAGACAGAATGGTTTACGAATCCGATTTTTACACGACCCGAAGGTCGTATCGCACCTCACCATCCCTTACGTCGTACACCGTTTCGGTAAGTGCCCTTCTGATCGCTTAATCCACGTAATGAACCCCTCTGAGTTTGTCCCATGTAAATAGTGTTCAGTTCCGCTGAAAGAATGTGTTAAAGGATGTGCTGAAGCTTATTTCACGGCAGTACGTTTGCTATCACCAAAGTGTACCTACGATTCCTAGAAATGTCCAAATATGTTAGATATAGATTTAAGCTAACTAAAAGTGTTTCAGTAGTGCATTGCTTATCCTTATTAGCTAATATTGGTGTGTTATTAGATGTTTAGTTTAGTTCTTACACGTGTTTATTGTAATCTGGTTATCTCTATAAGAAGGATAAACAATGTACAATCTAGTATTTCACGTCAATGATGAATTAATGGCAGTGGGAATATAGTTAATAAATACTATTAAGAAATTATATATGTTCCAGGGCAAATGAACTGTAATTAACATGTCGTCGTATTACTTGTTAATTTCTCTTTTTGAAAAACGAAACAATTTTCTCTTAACTTGTCAGATTTTGCATTTTATATTGACAGAAGAGTTACTTACTTATTAAATTTATAGCAAAGCCAATCTGTCTGTTTTTCGAGCTTATTTAAAAATTTTTTAAAGCAATATAAATAATATTGAGGAGCCAGTAATTATGTTAAAAGTTAAACATATTTTAATAGGTTTGTTCTTTATTTAAAGATGAGTTTTCAATCGAAAATAAAGTGAGAGAACAATCGTTGAAACGCCTCAGATAAAACTTTCGCGCATGATGAAAATATACATATACAAGGTGTTTCAATTTCAAGTCACACTACTCTATATCCTTAACATTTAGAAGGATTGACTGAACTGGTGCCAAATTTCGCATTCAGGGATGTGCATAATTTTTATCTAATGGGAGCAATTGCATTTTTGTTGCCAACTTTTCATATAAACGAGGAAACGTTATCTATTTTAAAAGCAGCATATTTTACTTATTTGGATGGTATGCAATTATGATATCAAACTGTGAAGGGTCTATTTTTAATAGCTTTGGAGATAAAATGAAAAGCATAATATGTTGGATAATTTGGTTGTCTGGAAAATAGTAACAATTAAGTGAGTAAAATATCCATGACTTTAATTTAAAAAGAAGTGTTTTTGTAACAATATGAGAATAATGTGGTTGCTCTCTTCATACTGGATATGTCCTTTTATCCTTGAACGTCAAATGTGACATCAATCAGGCAAGCCGTATCGCAGCTACCCCAGTAGTAGGATTAAGAAAGAGACTTTGTAAACCAATTAACTAAAATGATCAGAGATGTAATAATTTTTCAAAGTAACATTTCTGGCCTCATATTTGTTTAATGTAGTTTTATTTAAAGACGTTACATTGCTCCAGATCCCGTTTCGTAGTGAGTGTTTTTGACCAGAATACGGACGCTTAAAAACGTGGCGTGATGCAAGCGTTTATAAATTTAAGTTTCCTCCGCTCGCTCAAGCTAAATTTGGAATCCGTAACGTAAGATTGCGGGAAAACTGGCCCCGAGCTATCCTTTCGGGGATTGTTGCGGCTTTTTCGCGAATTTGTTTTCACGTACGCCGTTGTTAAATTTCGCGACTAGGCAGAGCCGTGCCAAAAAAATTATAGGAATTTGAAGGCCTCAAAGCCTTTACAATGTAAAATTTTATGATATTTACTTTAAGAAATAATTAAATAATTCGAATAGTCCTCTCAAAAATACTTAAGCTTTGTCACAAATTAATAAAGTAAGAAATAACTAACTGTAGTAATCAAAATACATATAAACTAAAATATGGGATACATCATATTTTGTTAATCCAATAAATGGTCTTAAGTCTCAGATCTCTAATACCACAAATTTAAAAAAAGTGGTGTCAAAATTAACATCTTTATTTACATGACAGAGACAACGCTAACATACCAATTTTTTCATTAAAATGAGGCGAAAATATGAAAACATAAACAAGAAATTCGTATATTATCTGATCTGAAAGACATCAAATGTGTAGTGTGTATATAGTTATAGTTACTATTTAATATTTTCAGTAAGAGTTTTAGTCTAATTTTTCTTATATCGATAATATCACTCTTACAACTCTTTCCATGTTGTAAAAAATTTCCCAACTAACTAAATTATAAATTTTCTTTAGACTATTTTCAATGCTTCTGGATTGCCTAAACGATATTTTAATACGTCTAGATGAAGTTATTTTAAACTTGTTCTTTATGCCTTGCAGGCCGGTTATAAACATATACTGTTAGTTTTATTATTACTGACAGGCCGTTAAGTTCTCCAATTTTATGAGCTGAATAATTGCTTCTCTTTTAATGTTTCGAAATATACCTAGTAAAATTTCCTTTTACAATTAGTGTCAAACTAGTTTTGGTACATTTTTGACGCATAAGTTTTTTTATTCCAAAAATTTCCGGCAGTCATGAAATTTAAATGAACTTTAAATTTATGATATAGGCATTTGACATTTACATTTGCTTGTGAATAAATTCCTTACTAAAAAACAAGACGCATCAAAATTATGTTATGTTTTCGTTTCGTTTTCCGAAACAAGCATTTAATAATTTGAATGAATTTTGGGTTACAATAGTAATTTTCTTAATTTTCTTTAACTGTATTCAGGTAAATTTAAATAATAAATAATGTCCACTCTAAAGGGCTCTAGAATTTATTAAGAAAAAATTATATTATTAAGGTATTCCAATAAAATTCGCAACTAAGAGAAAAATATTGAAAAAGTTAGTAGTGCTGATGAAAGTGATAGGTAATACTTTGTTAATAAAGCAAGGAACCCTTTCATGACAAAAAAAATAAAGGTGAAATATGCGAGAAAAAAAGAAATTATGACAATTCTGAGATCTCGAAAAAGATTGCATATATATATAATACATATATTTGTCAAACAGTTCCTTTCGTAATCAGCTGAGAAATATAAACAACCGTTTTTTATTTTTCTCAAAATTTTCTTTTTTCACAATGTTACAGCATGAAGTTTAAAAAGTGAAATGTTAGTATCAAATTAAAATTTAGATAGGTACTTATAACTACAACGAAAACTTAAAAACTTAATTTTTTGAGCAACACAAAAACGTCTATTTGTACCTATCAGTTGATTGCAAATAACATTTTTTGCACATAGGTATATGTGCAACCCTTTACGAGATTTCAAGGTTGGCAATCCCTATTTCAATTTATCATTTCGCAATGTCATTCCAAATGTTTTATCATAAAAATTTTCAATGTGAGCATTAGAAATCATGCTTGATTATTAAAATATGATTAAATTTTCACCAGACACCACTGGGGAAAGTGTCAAGGTTATTACGCATTTAACTGTCTATACAACTGTTACATCAAAAATTAAAAAGTCAGTAGCGTACAAACTTTTCTTCAAAATTACCAGACCATGAGCTTGTTGTTTAGACCTTTTAAATCTTTTTATTGCTAAAATATGAAGCATTTCAAATGTTTTTATAATCCAAATTTCATTCAAATTACAAAGGCCTTTTGTAAATATCGAAAATATACACAAACTTCCTCATCTTCTATCTGATAATCGACAAGAGAATATTTTTGGTACACAACTACACTGGCAATAAAATGCTTCTCATCATAAATATAAAATCTTAAAGGAAAAATTTTGTTAAGTTATGAAAATACAGAGCCTTCATAAATATTTACAAGCCACGTAACCGTCTAGCTTAGGCAACCAACATTACAGGGTTGGTACTGGTAACGAAAATTCCATAAATCTTGAAGTCACCAATATTAATGATTCGTTTACAATGAACAATGACAAACGGTTACGTCTACCCTCGAGATAATGCGATCGTTGATTGGTTAAATAGAATCTTGTGAAAAGTTACGCCAATCACTGACGGTGAAACAGAATGTCGTGTATTAATGTGATTTTGATCTTATTGTTTTAATTTTACCGAAATTTTAATTGCTAACGTGAAGGAAATAAAAGGATAACAAAATTGCTTGGCTTGTAATCATTTATGAAGACTGTATATTCCACCCAATGTAACGTAAATAGTAACTCCAAAGTTTCTCCAGTCTAAAAAGTATTTTTAAGAAGCTTTGGATTTACTACCTCAAAAAGTGCTTGTTTGTCCCCGTTACCAGCTTGTGTTGCCCCCCTCCTCCAACCCCTTCCTTCCCTAGCAGGTTTGGAGTGGGACGAACGGCACTCATCTCTCCAATTTTGCAGAAACGCGAAATCCCCTGGGAGAAAGTGCCCTTCGTCCCACGACCCAGCCTGGTGCCGGACCCAGTCACCGCCTTCGGGAAGAGGAGGCCGGAACAACCAGTCAAGCAGGAACGGAAATCCATCTTGTCGCCGGAAGAAAGGGCTAAGATCAAGCCCAAAGCATACCTCGAACCGATCAGGCCTTATGTGTCCGCTAGAGAGCAAACAAAGGAGAAGGTTTTCACTGGAATCTTAAGAAGTACTAACCAACCAAATGCTGAATCTATGGATTACGTATTGCCGAGGTTGCACAGGGTTGCAGAGTGCCCCGACCTGCCCTACAAACGGAGAATGGTTTCGGCTTCCGATTTGCCACCCGTGTGGTAGAAACGAATGCGAAATTATGACGGGAAATATAGTTTGTCTTGGAGGTTGATTAAATGAAAACGGTTGAAAACAGTTGCAAATTGAAAATCAAATCATTAAAATATTAAATAATAACTCACACAGTACTACCAAATATTTGAACGTTGTCATTTTCTGCCAATTTACCCATTAATACGATTCTAGTATATTAAATATACTGTATGTACTATATCAGATGTAAAAAAAACGAAATATTACAAAAGGTGTTGTAAGTAAGTGATATGATCGATCCAAAATGTTTTCAGATGGATTACAATTCTATTCATAATAGGATTCATTACAGACAGTACAGTTTAGATTTATATCCTAACATTAACTGACATAAACAGCCAATTCCTTTGATCAACCTTCAGAGTAAACGAATTTCTTCTATTTATGAAAATTTAA